TCCTGTGACACTGAACCAACTGTGGATTTCTAATTACTGTTCTTTACCAAGTCTACAATTGCAAGAAGTACTATTGAGAAGAAAACTTTATGATTAAATTAATTGCAGAAAAGTATACCATGTTCTTTGAGGATACCAAGCCTGGTCCCCCACTTACTGTTTTAGAATCTCTACATAGTCACATATCACTTAGCATTTGACCAATATTTAGTATTTAGCAAACAATGTATATGCATTTGGGAACTATATTTGAGCTTCTATGAGCAGGGATCTGTTTTGCTCATCTGAGACCTATCAAAGCCTAGTACAGTTTCTTGCTAAGAATAGACCTCCACTAACTCTTAGTTAATTGCATGTTTTCATTGTTAAACAATTCTTAGGGGAGTTCTCCAATATCCAGGGAATCTGTGTAGCTTTAGTTTCCATAAGGGATATTAAGGAACTAGGCAGGGTTTCTGTAGATATATGTCCAGCCATCAATTTTTTTCTCATGCATGTATCCATGAAAAGACAGTCCCATTTTCCAAAGGAATAGAAGGTATCTCCCTTGAGTGTCTTCTCTCATTCATTCAATCAGTGAATATGTGCTGAGCTTATGTACCAAACCTGGTGCTAAGCTCTTAATGTATAAGCCATTGACTTTGCCTTCACAGAGGGTGATATCTAGAGGGAAAGAAGTCAAAACAGCTTTTAATACCTTCCTAGCTGATAAGTATGATGTACTGGTGCAATAGAGGGGGAAGAGTTCTGATGATTTCAGGAAGATGGTGAGTTTCCAGAGGAGTCTGAGGAGAATCTTGAATGATTGTAGGAGCTAATCAGGCCAAAAAAAGGAAAGTAAAATATATCACAAGAAAAAAAGAGAAAAAAAGCAGAGCTTTTCAAGGCAGAGAAAGGAATAAAATGAGCTCACTTCAGGGCATGGGACTCTTGTCTGGGTGGAGTAAGGTTCATATTTCTGTTTGCTGCAAAGCCTAGTTACTTATGGGAAACAAAGCAGAACAGTAATCTACAATTGTCTGTGTGCACATTTGTCACTTTAACTGAACAATAATATGACTTCAAATCTATATTCATCTGAAGATGTTCCCTGACCTTATTCCTTTGACAAATATTTATCCCACCTCACAATGTATTCAGAACTATCTAAGATAGAACCTTAATACTTAATTTTTCTTTCATTATTGAAATCACACAGGCTACTTGTTGTTTGTTTTTTTTCTCTAAATGTGTCCCTTGAAAATATGTTCTGGGTAACTAAAATTCCATTAAGCTGTAACCAGGTGTTGAAGCCAAATACTGTTACAGGAGGCATCCTCTGACGGGGTTGCTGGTGAGAATGCTAGTGAGGCAAAATACAAACAAAGTTTCATGGGAATGGGTTCTCTACAAAGTAATGTAAAGGACTGCCTAAGCAGGACCCAGGACTCAGTGCTCGGGATTTCAGCATTTTCTGGTCTTCAGCAATTTCTGGATCAGCCATTTCTGCTCCCACCAAAAGGCTTTTTTGAGGCCTCTGAAGGATGCCGAGAGGCTTCTAGCAGCCAACCTGAGAGAAAAAAAGTTCAGAGGGTTTGCAGGTAGCCAAGTGACTGAAACTGTTTCCAGCTTTGCTGCTGTTAATAGCCTGGAAGGAAAAGGTAAAGACCTGGAGTGTGGGCTGTTTGTTGAATTGTTCAGCCGCTGTGGCTGCTGTTTTCAATGTTAATTGTCTGCTTCTGTGCTGGCACATCTCTGCAACTCCAGTGAGCATCTCCTGTTGTGATTCTTGCTATCTTCATGAGTTGGATCCTAGCATGTTGTCTGGCTGCCAGGCCCTAGGTGGGTGCTCCACCTTGGGAACACAACCTTTTGTTCAGGATAGGAGCTCTGTGACCTCTCATGGGGTGCTTTTGTGTACAGGATTTTAGAACACTGGACCCTGCTTCAGGTGAGGTAAATAGCCATTTGTGGCCTCAGTAACTCTTCTTCCCCATCTTGTATGGTAAATAAATACCATTATTGTAGTTCCCCAAACCTGAGTGGTCTTGTAATTTTATGTGCAGATTTGAATTCAACTCAGTGACCTATAAACCATTTGACACTGTCCTCAGCCAGTTTTCATGCCCCTTGCTGCCTTGTATCAAATCCAGAATTGGAGTGATCATTGGTTTCCCACATTTTTTTTAAAAAAGGAATATAAAATATTAATAGCCAATAAGCTCATGTCTCAGGCATACTTTACAACAGAATCTCCTCTACACCAAATCTCTGAATTTTACTTCCAAATCTCCATACTCTCTGTGCTTTAAGTCCAATCTCAGTTACAAAAGCTTCAGCTTGTTGAAAAGACTGTATGAAGTGATTGCTATGCAAGATTCCAGCCCAATTTTCACTGTGTTCTTCTTTCATTATGAGCTGCTGTCTTGAGAATTTGCTATAGAATCTGCCATTTGGCTCAAGAGAGGACTGTTCTTTTTCACACCTAAAGGAGAAGTGGGAACCATGTCTTGTGATCAGACGAGTATAAAAAATGAGCAATGTCACCTATAAGATGCTAATTGAAACCACAACTGCAGTCGCATCTATTAGCCCTTCCTGTGGAGACTCCACACAACTGACAACTGAAATAGTCCTCAGGGGGCTCTGAAGTGAGTTTGCTTCAAGTCAGCAAACATCTGAAATCTTTCCTACTCCAAACCAGGTTTTGTATCAGACTGAAATTTGGAGATGGTAAGAACCCAGTCCTACCCTCAAAAAACATCTTAGGCAAATTCTCCCCACGTCACATCATTTGCAAGTGACTTCTCTGTTGCTTGAACACAAATTTTTAATTTCAAAGCCTCTCTGTTCTCAGCTATGCTACATTGCACCTTCTTATCACATTGCAAAATAATTATTTATAATTGCTTTCCAATTACAGTTATTAAAATTTATTTTGCACCACCTAATTTAACAGGTGATGACAGATACATAAATCAGTGTATAAAGGTGTATTATAAATACTGAAAATATTCACATTAGATATGTTTTATATATTAAAAATGAAGTTGGCTTATCTCTTGGTAATTTAATGTTTTTTTTACACTATTTATTTTTCTTTAATTTCCAAAAATGAGATTGTACTACATTTCTGAAAAGCTACTTAAAAAATAAAACAATACATACAAAAAGGGCTTACTGGCCATAAAGTGCAAATAATTATCAGTTACTAAAATCATTACAACGTAGTAAAACCCTCAATATATGCACTAGGTTAAAAGCAACTCTAATCAAACAGAAAATAGATTGGTGGTTGTCAGAGATAGAGGTAGAGGTTGTAAATTGGTATAAACTTCAATAATAAATAAATCATGGGGATATAATGTACAACATGGTACATTAGAGTTAATAATACTGTGTTGCATATTTCAAAGTTACTAAGCGTAGATCTTAGCACACAAGAAAAAAATTTTTGCAAACATGTATGGTAATAAATGTTAACTAGACTTATTGTTGTGATTTTTTGAAAATATACAAATACTGAATCATTATATTTCATGTTGGAAATAATGTATATTACATATCAATTATATCTCAATAAAGTTAATAAGTTAAAATTTTTAAATAAACATTTAAAAAGCTCGTACAATCAACATTGAAAGTTGATGCTGATAAATTCCTCAGCAAGTAAGTGCTCTAAGAATGATAAGACTTCTCTGTATCTCAGTCTCAGATTTGGGGGGTCCAGTTTTGTCCAGCTTAATATGGGGGAGCAGAACAATAGAGGCCAAAGACTTATCAGATATTACATTGTCTACAATAATGGAAGTCTCTCCTTCTTCTTTAGCACTGCCTCTCATTACGGAGGTTTTACTTCTTCCGATCTAGGAACACACAGTTATACTATTTACATCAGTCCTCTTCCTCAGTGAGAAATTTGGTTTTAATGACACCCTGCTTGTGAATTTGGGCCCTATTCCTTTAACAGCTGGATATTGTGAACTTTCTGAGGGACCTAGCACATTGAGACAGCTTCACTTTGCATGTGAACTTTTTTTGCACCCCTGGAATCCAGCCTCTGCCAATATATATAATTCCTCTTAGATCAATGAAGTCTGACAACTTCCTCTCATAGACTTGTTGATCTTTGACCAACCGAGGGAAGTATCCCTCTCTTTTGCAAAAAGGTTATTTGGCTTCTCCAGCAGTTCAGGAGATAGAGATCCATAAAAATTTCTATAGGTACCAATCTACTAGTTTGGGGCCTTCACGCTTATATATTAAGTAGTAGAAAGGATACATACCTAACTTAGTCTTAAGACTCTTACTTGACACTTGCTTTATTTGTACATGTAGTAAAGCTTTGTACTCTTAACTGTGAGGTAAAAATAGTATTTTATAGTAGTGATGAGAAATCAAGATTCATTTGACTACACTGTTATCTCATTTAGTTATCACAGCTGCCCAGTGAAAGTTATATTGCTGACCTTGCAGTGAAGGAACACAGCAGTGAATCCAGGATTCTAGTGCAGGACTCATTCCCAGGTCTTTTAACCCCAAATATTGGCAATTTCCACTTAAAATTAAAAATCTGAGCTAAGGTCCCAGACTGAGAATGTGGAGAATGGAAATGATCTCACTCGTGATACATCATATACTGCAAAAGGAAAGAAGGGGCAGAAGAAAGAAACTTGTTGAATGAGTATCTACTCTGTGTGGTTGTTTCCTTGCACTATTATCTTTAAATGTTATCTCCTTTTCCCCATGTAATAGAAAAGAAATGGAAATAAAGCAAGGTTCAATGACTTACCCAAACTCACATAGCCAGCAAGTAGCAAAATGCAAGTGACAGCCAGTCTTTCTGAGCCCTTAGCCTGTGGTCTTCTGGCCACAATACCCATTTGTGTGCATGGTAAATTTTAAAAGGCAAATGTCAAACATAAGTTTTGGTTTGGAAAGAATGGTGTTCTTCTGGAGCCTATGTATGGTTTGTTGTGTGACACTACTCACATGTTTCTTCTGTTCCCTTACAGGGTGTGTGCTGGTGGTATCTGTGATTGAACAGCTAGCTCAAGTGCACAACTCTACTGTCCAGGCCTCAATGGAGAGATTATGCAGCTACTTGCCTGGTAAATACAGAAAGGGTCATAAAGCTGTAGATCTTATAAATGCTGAATGGCTTACTGTTGTTTTATATGTCACATTCATAGTGATTTTCCTACCTGGTGATCATTTCCTTAAGTACAAAGGAGTTCAAAAGAATGGATAATTGCCAATTTTTATGTTAATTTGAACACATCTGCATACCCAAATATTTGCACAGCCCCTTCAACAATGTGCTTTTGGCTGGGAAGACAAGTGATCTCAAAACCCCAAATAGTAAAGCAGTCTGAAACATCCCAATGATTTGAATTGGATTCAGTAAACCTCTTACCCATCCTACAGAAGAAAGGACTGATTGGTGGTCCGAACAACTTATCTATTTGTTTTTTCAATCTCAGATGAATGAAAATATTTATACCATTATTTCTATTATAGGATATTGGTAAGTGACCAGTCATCAGTCATAGTAAAGAAACTTCTTTGAGAGGAAAATGTTTTTTCACTTAATATTATAGAACTAATTCAACAATGCCTATATAATTTCTTCAGAGTAAGGTAGCTGGATAAATGGTAATTGTATTTTTTTCTAATTAAGTTTATGTCTTTATTTCTTATATCGTTGTTTATTTTATACAATATTTGATTTCTCTCCTCAGGTATAGTTCCTGATTGCATTTTTTAAAAGATTTATTTATTTATGCTTACAGGACTGGGGTACAGGCCAGAGGTGTGAGGGAAAGGATTTACCAGAGACAGAGTGGCAGGTGTACTGAAATACATTGCTGAGGGGAGCAGTGGGTGGGTCAGGAGAGGTCTGCTGTGCCATGTGGATCAGCTCCAAGGCAGGGAATTGAACTCGTGCTGCAGTGGCTTTGGAGAGCTTCATAATGCGATGCTTTAACCCGTTGAGCCACCAGGGAGAGCCCTTGATTGTATTTTTTAATCTGTATAGCACATTGTACTGTGAGCACAAAAGCATTTTCAAAGAATTGTAACATGAAGTCACAGATAAATATTTTTAGAATTCAAAAATAAAGATTAGTAAAGAGTAACAAACATATGTGTTTACAATTTTGCAAGATGGCCATTGCCAAGATTTGAACATGGTTGCATAAACTCTTTTCTTCAGATAAACTTGAAATACCCTTTGGTGTCTTCCACATTCAGTTCCATTCTCTTCTTGGCTGCCTAATGAGACTAACTCGACTAACTCAACATGAACCCACTAGGTATCATTCTCATCAAATTTAAACTAATATATCAGTTGTATGAATCTATAAAGTGTACATTATTGTTCTATGAATAGCTTTAAACCCTTTTTTGGTAAAACAAAAATGTAGAAAACCGGCCCTCCCTGGTGGCACAGCGGGTTAAAGCACAGCACAAAGAAGCTTAAACCACTTCCGCATGAGTTCGATTCCCCCCTGCCCCGGAGGTGACCACATGGCGTGGCAGAGCTCTCCTGACCCGCCTGCTGCTCCCCTCACCTGTGTACTTTGTTGATCTGCCTGTTCTATACCCTACTCTGTCTCTGGTGAATCCTCTCACCCTCCACATCTCTGGCCTGTACCCCAGTTCTGTACGAATAAATAAATAAATCTTTAAAAAGAAAAAAAAATGTAGAAAGCCACAAAAAATAAATGTAGCACTTTAAAACATCATCCTTATAAATGAAGGTCAGGTCAAGAAGAAGCAAATAGATAATCAGTCTATAAGTCCCATTCACCTGCCCTGTCCATTCCATCATAATTTTTTTCCCACAGCAGCATTCCGAATTTTACTCCAATCACTTTCTTGCTTTCCTTTGTAATTTTATCACCCACATGGCTATCCCCAAGTACTACAGCTCCTGCCCAGTATTAAAAATGTTAATGTGCCTTTTAAATCTATGTTAGCTACAAATTTCCAATCCATCCCTCCATTTTCCTTGTAATTTAACTGTAGAATTTTCACTGTGGAGTTTCCCACAGTCTGAATTTTGTTAATTGCATCCCAATGGTATAATTGAGCATGTTTCTTTATGCTATGTATTTCCTAAAAACGGGCAGCTTGATCCAGAAGTTTGATAAGACTCCAGCTTAATTTCTTTGGTGAGACTGTAAATGGTGTGATATTATTTTTCTTTAGGAAACCATTTTAAGTGATTATCTCTTTATTTTCCTTTATGTAATTTTAACATTGGCTGGTACTCAGTGATGAGATCTAGTCATTCATTGGGGTGGAAATCATTTATATTTCATTCAATAGCTGATATATGTTAGAGATAATTCATTATCATCATATTTTAGAGACATTCTCCCCAAAATTCTTAATGGTATCATTCATACCAGGGAAGGCAGGATAAATGCATATTTTTAAAAAATTAGTCACCAGTTTTCAAGTAATTCATTGCCTTTTAAGTAATTCATTATCATCCCAAAACATAAATTTGTTTTCTTTAAAATAGCATTGTGGTCTCATGAATGTATGCTTGTTTAATGAATTGGAATCTATTTCAAATACTATCCTTCTAAAGATCAACTTGTCCTGTCTTTGACCAATGGGAACTATTTCAAATTGACTCTTGAGTTCTTTTGACTTGAGCCTAGGACAGCCTTTGACAACTTTCTCACTAATTGATTTGACAAGGTATTCCAGCCCTGTCTGGTACATTTCTAGCCCCATACTTAAATTAGTCATTTCTACTAGTAGAAAACAGTATTTTAAGACCATAATATTCATGCTTAGGAATGTTCATTGCCACTGAGTTGTTCATCCTTTCTAGGCCTTTTACTCTGGACAGTGATGGAAAATAAACAAATACATCTATATATACAACTTTAAGATAAACAATGAGTTCTCACTAATACTTTAAATTCAAAGCTACAGAGCATTTTCTTCATAATATTTTCTGTATCATATCTGTATCCTCTCCACATTACAAAACCTGGTTCTCAAGGACAAAGGGATTTGTAGAATCAAAATATCCCAAGTTACTCATTTACCTCTCCCACCCTACATATAATAGTCTCAGAGTATCAATTCTAATACTACTAGCATTCATCTATTTCAGGATCATTGAGAACAGTTAAAATTATTTTTCATGAGTGCTTTTCCTATTTCTCTTTAATCATTTGCTATCTTACCAGAACACTTAGCCGTTGTTTACAATATCCATTCATTTTCACCCTCTTTGAGTCTTTGTTCCCTCAGCAACTATATGAATGATGTTTGCCACAGTCCCTTTGTGAATGTCTCTCTAAGGGAGACATCTGAAGTTTATTCTTCAGGAAGGGCTTATAAAGAAAATAATCCCTGAATTCTTGCATGTTGATAACAGTTTGTGCCCTTGATACTTGAAAGTCAGTATTTTTCTGTTCATAAAAATCCTTTGCATGTAATTTTTCCTTAAGTATCTCACATATGTTATTTAAAATGTTAACCTAATTTTTTGTTCTTTTCAGTTACTGGCAGTATTTTTTTTTTTTTTTAAAGATTGATTTATTTATTCATACAGAACTGGGGTACAGGCCAGAGGCTCAGGGACGGTGAGAGGCTTCACCAGAGACAGAGTGGGGAGCAGAACAGGCAGATTGACGAAGTACACTGCTGAGGGGAGCAGCGGGCGGGTCAGGAGAGGTCTGGCTCGCCATGTGGTCTCCTCCGGGGCAGGCGGCAGGCGGGAATCGAACTCATGCGTAAGTGGCTTCAGATTCTCAGTGCTGTGCTTTAACCCGCTGCGCCACCAGGGAGGGCCATTGGCAGTATTTTTCCTAGAAGTTTGAAAAGATTTTTTTCCTTTCTGCTATAAAATTTAGTTACTTAGCTAGAATGTTACTTACTATACATTGATGTTCTCAAGCATACAGTGTACTCTTTCAGTATGTTTGAGATATAATATGTTTAATACTTTCAGGAAACTTTTTGGATATATTCAGTTTCCTTGATTTGGTTTCTTTCTTTAGGGATTTCTTTTATCCATGCTTTGAATCTTCTTTGCCTGCCTTCAATACTTTACCTTCCTCTTGAATAGTTTTTATCTCTTTATTAATTTTTAAATTAAAACTTTCTTCCTTTTCACTTTTATTTCACTTAACACATCAGTGATTCTTTTCATGTCTTCTTGTATTCTAAAATCCATTTACTTTTTCTTTCTTTTTTCTTACCTAAATTCTCTTACTCCAAACTACGTTTTTCTAATTCTGCTTTGTATTCTAATTCTGCTTTGTAATCTAATTCTGATTTTGTTTTTCTTTCATGTCTTATATCATTTTAGTAATGCTTCTTTGATAATTTTGAAATATGATGTTATGTTTTAATCCCCCCTCTTTGGCTTGATTTTCTGGCATGCTTTTGCTATCTGTGGGGATGTTAGTCTGTTCCTTATTCTTTTTTTTTTTTCTTATAATAACTTTGTATGGGAGTTGACCTAGATACATTTCAGTTGCTCATTTTTATGTGAAATTAGTTTTCAAAAGTCATAGGAAGAAAAGTGGTTTAGGGAGCTTGTCTAAATGCATAAAGGATCTTCTGTGGGTTTTGTCAAATATTAAAAAAATAAATTATGACAGGAGATTTTATGACTATTCCCCCATCCACTTTTACTTGAATTTTCTATTCACTTTGTTTCTATACAAAGCTTAAATTGTCGAAAATCATCAGTTTTTCCTCATTGTGGACCATAATCTGAAAGTGAGTTTTAGGTCAGTTTCTAGAATTTGTAGGTATCAGATTACTCAGATTACTTAATCCACTCCTGAACCCTTTGCACTTAGCTGCTATTGCAGGGACAGAGGCCCTGTCAAGTTTAGCTGTTGTTCGGAGAGCACTAATCCACCATGCTTTCTAAACAACACATTTTGGGATTCTCTAATTCTGACACTTCATTGCTTCCCCCCACTTTCTCCCATGCGATGTTAATTAACCACAACTCTTGTGACAGGGAGAGATTTATTCTCATATAATGTTCTTATGGGTTTGTAGAAGTTCTTCGTTTTTTTATCCATGGGTTTTGGGATGGACAATTCTTTTTTTGCATTGGCAGAGAGTCAAAAGAAATTCCAATACTCTATTACCTCCACTATCACTCTCTTTGACAGGGCATTCATTTGACATCAATGCCTTCTATATGTATGGCTCAGCAACTACAGTATTTCACTCCAGTGTATTTTGAGATGTATACATATATAGACATTCAGACATAAAGAACTACAATTTTTTATCATATAAATGTCCTATCTCTAGCTTCATCCCCATTATTAGACCTGCATAATCTATTATAAAATTTATAACTTCCCACCTCTGAATTAGGAAAACAAGAGGATAAAATTAGCATTTTACAAAAATTAAAAGATACCTACAGTGTTTATTAAGACTTCTTTATATTGGTTAGTATTTCTGTGTAATAGACCACACTGATGTATACCACCATTTTCTACCTTGAGTTTGATTTTCTCCTTTAGGTCAAAGTTGTGTTATTAAAAGATGAAAATCAGAGTAAAAATCCTCTTTCTTACATTATCCTCCTCCAACCCAATATATTGGCAAAATATACAAAAATCTGAACTAAGATTGTTGGCATTCAAGTTACCATTTTTGTTCTTCTTCTGACTCTATAAACAGGACATTTCAGTGTCTACTGAGGTAAAATGAGAGGCCAGAAGTCAGATTCTACTAAAATAAAAATTTTTACTCAAGAGAAACAAGATTTCCTTTGCAAATGGTTGGGTTACCTTTCAATTGAAGAAAATTTACAGGACTCAGAGGATATTATTGTGTTTCTTTCATTTTATTAATTGTCCTTTTACCTCTGATAGAAATAATTCACTCAATTTAGGATAAAATCCCTTCATTTGATAGACATAATGGCAGAGTAGACATTATTATTATCATTTTATGGATGTGGAAAACAATGCAGAGCATAGTCATGTGAATTATAAAGATCACAAAGACAGACTAATGCCTTAAGATTTAAGATTTCTACTTCTACTAAATATAATAGCCATGGATCACAGTATTTATTTTTGTCTGGTATTGCTTCTGTCAGTGAATCAAGAGAATAGAGAACAGAGTAAGTAATATTATTCACATCACATAGTTACTTTGAACTTAATTTTTAATTAGTATTGCTTCTAACTCCAAAGCTAAACAAGTACAGAAAGTGTAACCAAAGCAGAGAACGCAACATTCTTTAGAATGTTCGCTCAGTAAAACGATGTTGAGCTTTCTTGTGCTGGGAAGATAATTTATGCACACTGTGCATTTCTGACCTTCAGTTTCACCTACTGCTTTTGCCTCTAGCTCTCATTAGTAAACACCTTGGAAAAATCTCAGAATTGTTAATGGAAAAATAATTAATGGAATCATTCTCACTGGCATGAGCAGACTCTCATACCCTGAGAGCCTAATGAGAACTTCACTTTCTTGGGTCACCTGTACAAAAATCTTATCTCCATGGAGTATGAATTTGATAGTTAAAAATTCATGGTAACTTAAAATGATGAGGACAACTCTCCTTACTTCCTGTGAGTTTTGAAAATCTACAAGCAACCTAAAATATATACTATAAAACTAGCTCTATGGTCAGTTAATCTTTCCATACTTCAAATTTTTTAAATTTATTTTTTTTACATCATTCTTCATTTTGTGCATTTTTTCATCTCAGTTGTAATGCACATGGGCTTCATACCACCAGTTCACCTATGTGCCATCCCCATAGTCCCATGCATTTTTCCCACCCCAGTTTTGATCCTGTTCCCCTTTCTACCCCCATAAAATGTCCTGGCTTATAGTTGTTCGCTGTTTTTCATTTTTACTTTATTACAATTGCTTTCTTTTTCCTGATCCCTTATGCTCCTGCTTCAAATTTTTCATAAGTAGTTAAGGTATAAAAATAATTGTCATACCTGAGGATTCAAACAAAATGTCCTATATATATAAACTACAAAAATAGCATGGGCTTCCAGAGTAGAATATTTTAACCTCAATTGAGCCACCTACTATATCTGAAAAGACTGGGAAGATCAAGCTTTCTAAACATCAGTGTTCCTCCCGACAAAATGAGCCTAAAAATAACTTAAAAGGTTTTTATTAGAAGGATTTTATCATGAAGGTGACTTACAATGCAGAATGTTCTAGGTCTTACACACACAGACATACACTCATAATATATGATAACTACAATTGGTATTTTTTGCCTGTAACCCTGAAAATAGTCACCTATTTTTTTCATATTAAATCATGAAGTTCTTCTTACTCCTTAGAAATTAAATGTTGTTATACCTTCCCATTCACAGGCACTATTTAACTGTCTAATTTTTATACCATGTAGATTGCTAGCAATGTTAGTGCCAATCTTTTTTTCCAGTTGTATTAGTAGCAATCCTACTACCAACTAATACTGGTTGACTGAGGCCTCCCCTTTCTGGAAACTGTATATTTATTTCTGCTTCTTTCTGTGTTGATCTTAGAAGTTAGCTCTCAGAGGGCCCTCTCATTCCCATTGCTTTTGCTTATGGAGCCTCTCACACCTAGCTATCACTGAATCCATCAGAAGAAACTTATTGTTCAGATTGCTCCTACTCAGAAGGTGAAGAGAATCTTAGATTCATTCACTTTGAGTTGAAAAAAAAAAAAAAGAATTCTAGAAAATACTTGTAATTGTTTTTCTTAACTAATTTCTCTTTCTGAAACTTACAATATAATTTAGAATAAAAGTTATAACAGTCTATGTCATTATCTTTTTCTTTATCATAGAAGGAAAGCATTTAGTCTTTAAGAGTCATTTTAGCATGGGTGTTTTATACATAATCATTATCAGGTTACAAGTTTCCTTTTCTAAGAGAAAGAAAAATACCGGATGGTTTCGCTTATAGCAGGAGTATAATGGACCAGGCAAGAAAATAACAAAAATAATGAACAACCATATACCAGAGACATTTTGCAGGGGTGGAGTGGGGAATGGGATCAAAAATGGTGGTGGGGGGAAATGCATGGGATTATGGTGATGGCACACAGGTGACTTGGTGATGGGAAACCTGCGGGGATTACAATTGAGATGGAAAAAAAATGTACAAAATGATGTAAAAATAAACTTTTGTAATTAAAAAAAGAAAAAGTTTCCTTTTCTTCCTACTTTGTTGAGATTTTTTTCTTTTATCATGAAAAGATGCTGCATTTTGTCAAATTCTATTGTTATCTATTGGATGAACATAATTTTTTCCCTTATACAATTGATGTAGTATAACCAACTCTGCATCCTTTGTATCCATTTACTTGTGTTAAACTAATTAAGCTGCCATAATAATTACCACAGCCAAATTGACTTAACAGACAAAATAATTTTCTTGTAGTTCTGGAGGTTGGAAATCAAAGAACAAGGTTTTGACAAGTTTGGTTTCTCATAAGGTATCCCTTTGACTTTTGGGTGACTTCCTTTCCTTTGTGTCTTCACAAAGTCTCTGCCCAGTGTGTCTCTTTTTATATAGACACTGGTTATATTACATTTATACCTTGTGAGAAGATTATCTTATTTAATCTTAATTACCTGCTTAAGTGCTTTGAACTCAATAGAGTAAAACTATGGATTAGAGTTTCACTGTATGAATTTGAAAGGACACAATTGAGTCCAAAATTTGGACTTGAATATTTTCCTTATTCAGAATTTCTTTCCTGACTTTGGGATCAGAATGAGTTTTGAAATGTTGCCATAATATCTATGTCTTAAAGAGATTTTGAAGAACTGGTATTGATTATTCTTTAAATGTTTTCTAAAATTCACCAGTGAAGTCATCTGGTCCTGTGTTTTCCGTTGTGGGAAGCATTAGAAGTTTTATGCTTTACTATACATAAAAAAAAAAAAAGTTTAATATAAAAGTAATATTTATATTATATTCCATTGAGTAAAAGTGAAGTACCAGAAAGAGTTCCTATATGGATCCTTGGTTTCACTACCCTACATCCAAGCAAAGCATGGGTAGTCCAGTTTAAGTAAACAAAACAAGATAAATTCTCAGGGAGGGTTTCCCTCCATTTCCCAGGATAGTCAATCTGTCCCTAATTATGTTAAAACCTACATGGAATTACCATGGTTCTGCAGTAGACTCACAAATTGAAGAATTGGCACCAGGGAATTAATAAAGTCAATAATTAATAAAGTTCATCATATGAACATTTTGATATATAGAGCACTCCTATGCATTTATAATAGGAGGAGAGAGGAACAAGGAGATTACTGTGTGTGTGTGTGTGTGTGTCTATTTTCTGGTATATATGGCAATGTCAGGACACCTGTGACAGTTTATCTCCTTTAAACTCTAGAACAAAAACAGCAAAAACTAATTTAGCCAAAATGAAATATTTTTCCCAAATTAATACAAGGATATTTTTAACAGAGCTGTATTTCAGATTATTTATTTTAAAGGAAGTCCTATTTTTTTCAACTCCAATAATTGAAAACTTCACCAACATTCAATGTTCCCTAATAAAAAAAGGGGAGTAAAAACTCAGAATTTAACTGTATTTTTATAATAAACTACTGATCTTTAGCATGTACTATAAACAAATGTCATTTGCATAAACATAAGAGGGAAATTATATCTTAATGGCTATATTAACTGTTACATTTCCCCCTTACCCTTAAAGCTAATTACTTGAATTAATAATAAATTAATCACTCAGCTTCAGTTCTTAGTAAATATGATTACTATTAATTCATGTGTTCAATTCATCTTAATAAAAATATTCTATTTTCCCCTTCTTTATTTTTCTTAGAAAAACTGTTCTTGAAGACCACCTGCTATTTAGTAATTCACATATTTGGACCAGATATCATAAAACTGTGAGTGTGCCATGGGATATTAATCTGACTCAATTGTTGGGGCATGGGAAAAACAGAAAATTTAAGAGGCTGTTGTTTGGTTTCCACTTGTTCATGAACAAGTGCTTGAGCTGTATTCTAGTTCTTGCTAATACTGGGAAATGGAGAACTAATTTGGACCTTTGTCACTTTAAACAAGATTCCCCTTGAGTTACATTGTGGCTCACTTTCTCTACAAGAGAATTTTCTAAAGGAATTTCAACACTAATGTCAACAAATGAGGAGCTCATATTGGCTGGACCAGGCATTTGACCTTATCTCCCAACATGTCCCGGCCCCTCCCTATTCACTCTCCTGGGTCCTCAGGCCACATTTTACTCAGATTCTTTTCCACTCTCCTCCCAGTTCCCTGACCCTATTTCCCCAGGCCCAGACCCTATCCCTAGGTATCACCCATTTCTGCTATTATCATTATCATCTGCTTGCTTCTCTTATTTTTTTTTTTCTTTTCTGGGCTCAAGGATATTTAGATCAGAAAAAATCTTATTTATCAGTTTATGCCACGTTATTACCAAGGTGTCTATCTTATAATTATTATTCTTATATTATTTAGTTATTTACTTATATTTTTAATAAGCTTCCAAACTATCAAAACTAAATCTCTAGGACCTTGACAATACTTATTCTAATATTTCTAACTCTCATTCTCACTGAAGTAATAAGTCCCAAAGTCATCTTTCCCTTTCTTTCCTCTTTCTATAGATTTTCTTATATATATTAATATAGTAATGCATGATTATATAAAATACAAAATGTAATTATATAAAATGATTATTAATAACATAATCATAATTAATAATATATAATTATATAAATAATTATGATTGACACTATATTCATAATATAGTCCTTAAGGGCATATATTTTTTATTTTAGTTATTTCTTCACTTTATGAAGAAAGTATCACATTTTATATGTAGTCCTTTGGAATTTACTTATATTTATATATCTAAGATTCATTCAAAGAGTTGTTATTGCTTTAGCTTACTTGCCCAACAGGGTTGTTTCCCAGCTTTCACTGGTTATTATGAACATTATTTGCGATTCCTCTTTTATATGCCATTAGCCTCAAGGCAGAGAGATTTCACTGGACAGCATCACCCTTCACAACAGGGTAGCTTAAGTTGCAGAATTTTAAAGGCAGAAGGAACTTATAGGCCAGTGCTCCATCATGCTGTGCACTTATTTCTAGTACTACTGATCTCATTCAGTTGTGGTAAATGATTTCTTCCAATAAGCAAGCACTCTTAGCTCAGACTGCTAGAGAAGTGGCACATATGCACATATAATACATGTATTATATGTAAAATAGATTTAAAATGTGCCACATATATATTACACATACACAATGGAATACTATTCAGATAAAAAATTAACTCCTGCCATTTGTGACTACATAGAACTAGAGAAGATAGTGCTAAATTATGTAAATCAGAAGAAGAAAGAAAAATACAGCATGGTCTCACATATATGGAAGATAGGGATCAGTCAAAACCAAACCAATAACAAACCCTTAGTATCTAACTACAGAACTGAGACAACTAGAGGGGGAGGGTGGCGGAGGGAAGTAAGGGAGAGGAAGGCCCAGTGTACCATAGTAGAAGATTGATGAGTCAAGGCCCTGTAGAACACAATAAAAGATTGATGGGGCACTAGTGGTAGGCAAGTTGTGAAAGCACACACCAGTCCACAAACATACCACACTATAAAGCATGTGGTCCAGAAATGGAAGATAACTTTTAAGTTCTATAAGAGAGATGCTATGACAGTATCTGTGGCCATACATTAATATATAAAATCTCTTTTTAAGGTGATGTCAAAGATCTAAATTTGACAGCTTTGGTATGTAAGGGTCTACACTAGCACCATACTATCAGCCCATCTGTTAACGTAAGCCTGACATTGTTTCCTTCTTTTAATTCATGATGATGATGATAATCATCACCATTGGCTTTCTGCCACCATTCTACAACTAAATGTGCTTTCTAGCTTTGCCAACTGTTTTGACATCTCACCCTCCCTGAATGCCTTACTCCTGTGCACCTTGGGACCTACAGAGGTGATACAAGGAAGTAAATCAATATCGGACTATTTCAATCATATTTACTGCTCTGGGAAAAAATAAGCAATGTGAATTACAATGATTATTATGAGTAGAGATTTTGTAAAAGTTTTACAAGTTGTATTTAGACTTTGTCTTCTACACCAAGCTTTGTAAAAAGTACATGTTATTTTACCACTTCAGTGTTTCCTTACATTCTAATGGTCTTCACTTACCTAGACTTATCATGCTCAGCATTTTCTGTTCTTGTTCAAAGAACTTACCACTTTCCATCATTTAGTGATGAAGCTCTGGTGATGAAGTTACATGCCCAGTTCCCCATTCCTAATCCAATTCAGAGAATGCCAGCTTCATTCTATGATTGAGAGACTACAACCTTTACTCTCATATGTAAGTTTGCTTACCTGAAATTGTGCTCTATTTCCAAGGGAAAGAAAATAAGTTTTAGATATCAAATGATGAGTTGACTTCTGTGCCTAGATTGCCACGGAAGGGATATTGGACTTACATTAAAAGGGGGAAAAAAGATTAAAGAGGTGAGGTGGGAACCTGAACCTCCAAATCATATACAGGGTTGTAAATCAACATTATCTCAATAAAGTAAAAAAAAAAATAAAGATTAAGCTGAGCCCTATTTATCACCCTTCTGAGTCAAATAAATACTAAACCCCAATGAAGACAACAGTCATCAGTTAAATAAATGAACCATTAAGTTGAGAACAGATGTGTAAAAACAGTCACCCTCTCCTGATTTATTGACCCTTGGTAGATATTACTTTGGTAATGGACTTTGTCTGTTGCAAACATCTTGTTTCATGTCTTAGAAAACATGGCCTCCTTTCATACCTCTGTACCCCAACCTCCCAGCTCCCATGAAGGATCCCTGGGGCCAAACAGATGATTCTCATGGTCAACTCCCCTTTTCTCTTCAAATTCAGGTGCTCATAATAGGTTAAGAAACAATCTTGTCAATCATTTTAGTTTCATACTGCTGAAATGAAATTTGGAAGCTCATAGCCACAGCCTGTTTCCAAATATTTGTGGCCATCAAAATATTTGAGGGTGACTGTTTTATGATGGGTTTTTATAAGATACACTTACACTAAAGTGGGGCAATTATTTTTGCAGGAAAGTTAATGATATAAACTCTTAAGCATTTTGGTTGGTAGTCCAAAGAAAAGGTTATTAAAGTTTTTAAATACTTTGATGTTCAGCAACCATTAAAGCTGCTGCTTATACACAAAGTGAAATAGGGAATTTTTTTGTATCTTCCTTTTATTTTACCTTTCAAATTGAATTTGTTATAATGCATATCCAGGTGTAAAATTCCTTGGATAAGTGGCTAGCCTAAAAGAGACTTTGCCAGGGAAATAAAGCAGACCTAGTAGTGTAGGAAAGAGTAGTTACATTAACTTGCCGTCAGGCCCTGGTCTCAAAGGGAGGCATTAGAAAATTGATTAGTTTCACAAGGGTCAGCCCATAGGGAAGCTGTGATTACCCTGTGTGGTTAAAAACAAACAACAACAAATTTGGTCTTGCTTATAGAAAATAAGAAAAAGGAAGAGAAGGACCAGGAAGAGAAGACATAATAATGTGGTAGATATAGAGGTCATCACTGTAATATTTGGGAATGGCTTTATTATAGAGGAACCTGGAGTGTTTCAGAAAGTGCAAGGGCAGGACATAGGCAGGCCCCAAGCTGAGGCTAGAAAGAGAAGTAGGAAACCACCAGAAACACAAAGCTATGCTCTCCTCTGGTTTCACTGTGCATTCTAGGTGCTGCCACCAAAACCCTAACTCACTGACCAGCTTCCCAAATACCAGAAACACAAACCTGTTAGGCTCTCTCCTGTCTTCATTGTGCATTCTGGGTGCTGCCACCAAAACCCTAACCTACTGATCAGCTTCCCAAATACTCAGCTCATATGGCAGGAAATTGTATTGGAGGTCTCCAAGTTATGTTAATTCCTATTGTTCTGAGAATAGCCTAGAATGAAGTCAGACTTTTATGTAGTTTCTACATGTCTGGAAGAGAGAATCTGACTAGTCTCACTGGAACAGTACTCTAATGAGGTCTACTCAACTGAGGTATAACACAACTACCAGTAACTCATCCCTTTGGGTGAAAGGGAACAGCTCAGGGATCATGTGAAGGGGTGGGAAGAAACCGCAAAAATTTCCATCTAGAATTTGTAACTATATCCTTTCTCATATGTTTCTGGCACTTATATTGTTTTGGTTTGATTTGACTTGGGTTTGAATCAGTGATCTATTTAGGAAGTTCATGAAAAGTTCATATTTGTTCCTTCATTTGAAGAAGAGCATTACACTCATTTTTTTGGTAAGAAAAGTTTTAGGAGTGTCAGGTAGAAAACAGATATGGCAGATTTGTTTTAGCTGTTTAAACTTAGAAATAAACCAAAATGTGTGAAGAATGCTGTCCTTACTCCAGGCCCAGGGGAGGAATACAAGTCAATTCTATTGTATTTTCTTTCATAAGGTAAAGAAATAGATTTACTTTAAAGGAAAATATGTATGTGTGTGTGTGTGTGTGTGTATCATATATATATCATATATATATCATATACCTAAACACACACACACATATAAAATGCCTAAGAAAATAGGTTTTTAAGGCTATGTCATAAAAGACTTTTTTATTGTGAGGTCCCGCAAACCTTAAATATTTTTCCCATCAAATTATAGCCACCTCCATTTTTCCTCTCAGAGTTTTATTTGTAGCTTTTCCTGAAAAGACAAGATAAGGAATTTGTATCATGGTTCTTATGTGACAGGCTAACTCACAGCCTATTGTTACTGGTGCCCCATCTCCATGAGCTTACTCCAAATGCAGAAGAAAGCAAACCAACTCAGAAGGAAATAGTTAGGATCTAGTTGCCACCAGGGACAAGACCAAGAGATCTTGCTGAAGTGGGTTGTGAGTAGTAGAAACTATTCTGGGGATTTGCTTTTCTTTGAAATAGCTTCTATTTCCTAATGCCTGAGATATCATAAATAGCCTTTGTTTTGTCCCATTTTCTTCCAGACTCAATGAAAATATGAATGCTGATATGGTGTGCCATGCTCTGGATTTTTGTAAACAGGACACAGGTCAACCTTTGTGTCATCTCTACCACTTTCCCAAGGTAAGTGACTTTTCATTCTGTTGGTGAGATTAAGGTGATATGCAAGTCCTTTGGGTTTGTGATGAGGGAGGCTAAGATTCAGTCAGTCAGTGGTTTGGGGACAGAGAGATGTAAAATGACATTTTCAGTTATACTGTGTGAAATAATATTCCCAAGTTTCATCCTAGACCCCTAACCCACATGCTGCTAAGTAATGTCATTGCTGTTTAACTATTTTGGTTTGGAATCTAGAACTGTGCTAGTTAGTGGTAGGTGGGAAGTCTTCCAGTCAAGGAAATAATAGGCTTAAATCCCTCTTTAGTGCTTAATAACCAAGCAAGTCATTTGTATAGGGTGACCTCTCAGCCCAATTTGCCCAGGACTTTCTTGGTAAAAGCACTGAAATTCCCACATTCTTGGAAAACCTGTGCAGTTGCTTACTCTAGTGTGAGTTTTATTGTTCCCACCCATGAAATGTGTATAATAAAATACTTCCTCATAGATTTGCTGTGGGAAGTGAGCTAATGCATTAAAATGCTTAGCATAATACCTGCTACATAAAAAGTATTAATAAGGACTCTCCTTGGTGGCTCAATGGGTTAAAGCACCTCATTATGAAACTCTCCTAAGCCACTGCAGCACAGAGTTCGATCCCACGCCAGCTAGGAAGCTGACCTTCATGGTGTGGCAGACCTCTTCTGACGCACCCACTGCTCCCCTCAATAGTGTACTTTGTCAATTTGACTGTTCTGCTCCCCTCTCTGTTTCTGTGAATCTTCTCACCTCCCCTGCACCTCTGGGCTGTACCCTAGTTCTGTAAGCATAAATAAATAAATAAATATTTTTTAAAAAGTATTAATAGAATGAACATAAAATGCTTAGAATTCAATTGAACAGAAGATGTTTGAGATATCTACATTAAAAACATTAGTTCACTGAAGAT